ATATAATTATAAATTTAACCCTATTAACTTAAAAATTAATCAAAACTCTCTTCAATTAAACTATCAATTGGGAGAGAGAATATTTCATTAAAGGTAGGTTCTACTTTAATATAGAGTGTAAATTTTTTGCACTCTTAGAATAACATCAAAGTTTTGCATTAAATTTGGTAATAAAATAATTGATCTAGAGTTTGATAATATTAATTTAGGCTAATTTTTAAACAAATTTTTGCAGGGTCACCAAGCAGAGCCTAAGTGTAATCTTTTGTGAAAGTAGTATTCAGAAACCGCATGCAAATGTGCATCTGTCTCGGAGAGGTACTGAGTTAACTCCTTTCAAGGTCCTAGAATGCAAACAAGTTGATCTTCTTCAAAGAAAAAGACCATCTTCACAAGGATACCACTTAGCTTTGCAAACAAAATTTCAGATGAAGCAAGATGAACTTTAATCACCATATAGTATGATACTATACTATTCCCACTAGGCAAATGAAATGTTGCATTATTATGTCTTCTTTAATCTTCTTCAACATTATTGACCAAGGTAATGTTTTAATTTTTTTTACTTTTTGGATAATGAATTGATTATAGAAACAATAAGTAATAAAAAACCTGTCTAAGCTAGCTCAGTTGGTAGAGTGCAAGGCTCTTAACCTTGTGATCGTGGTTTTGCCCACGCTGTGGGCGTTGTTGTTGAGATGGCCGATTTGGTCTAAGTAACCAGATTAAGGTTCTGGTCGGTGAAGGCGTGGCTTCAAATCCCACTCTCAACACATTGCATATCTTTTTTTCTCTTTTTCTTTACTCAAAGTTTCTTGCACTTCAGCCTTCTTTAGTTCAAGCTTTTGAGATTGAGAGCTACACTGTTGAAAATTATACATGGTTTTCTCCAATATCGTAAATAACATCTAAAAAGATAATATATACAAGCCTTTTTTTTATCATACAAGTTTACCACTACAAAGTATTTGCAAGAGAGGAATGTAACAAATTACTTTAGCAAAATTAATGGAGAAATCTTTTTTAGATGTTACTTTATTGCTTGAGGTTTTAGAACATGTTCATAATATTTGCACGTCGATCAGCATCTATATTATGTGATTTATCATTCATAACTAATGGAATGTGAGTTGCCAATGCTGATTTCAAACGAAATTATCATATGCATAAACATTTCAACCATACCTTGTTTTCTCATGCAAATGTTTCATGTTATAATTGGGCTTGAGAGTCAGGACCTACTCCTTGTACCTATTGTAACAGCTCTGTAAGCATAATGCTCTGAACAGATCATCCAGTCGTGTTGTTTTGGTTGCCTATGTGGGCGTGTGGTTGTGCCAGTCTGTTCAGCCCAAAGGATAACAACCAGAGTGTAGAACAAGCTATTACGTCCCAGAATGATTCGATCCTCAGACAACAAAACATGGCAGTGCATAAAGTTATGAAGCTTATCAATGCAAATCTGCTATGAATACAACGTACAATCGTGATATTTCATGAGGAAAGTAGCAAAGTTGAGATTGAGGTATTCATCACATTATTCACATTCCTATATTGTAGACCAAAGAATTTTATCTGTGTGTCGTAGTTGTATGTGGGCATGTGGGCCGAACCAAAAGATGCCATGTGTCCAAAAAACTAAAACATATGTATGGGTGTGGTGAACCCTAGTGGGTAAATGGTCATTTCT